ATACAGAAAGGTGGGCCTAGTAAGTGTTCAGCCGTGCAAGTTGTCAGCTAGACAAGTGCCTTCTCCCAGGGTGGAGAGCTTTAGTCATCAGCTTCCCTGAAGAATGATAAATAGGATGCAGACAGCTAGGGCCCAGCACTGCCAAATAGACCCTTAGGATTGAAATATAGCTGTGCTCTATGTTGAACTGAGAACATGCGCACACCCTGAATGCACTGTACCATTGATCTGAAACGTGTTCAAAGGTGAGAGAAAATACAATAGTAGTGATGATGATAATATTTACTGTAATAGGGCCTTTCTCTGGCTCTGTGAAAGGAAACAGCCTGCAATGGATGTTGCCTTTGTTGAATGGGACAGGGAGGAAGTCTTCTCATGAGCACACACCCACATGCTGCTGGCCGCAGTGCACGTGAGTGTGTGTGTGTGTGTGTGTGTGTGTGTGTGTGTGTGTCCCCTCACCTGTTGTGTGTGTGTGTGTGTGTGTGTGTGTCCTCATCCGTGACCAGTGCTTTGAAATGTGAACAGAGTAAGAAGGACAGGGGATAATCCACAAGCTACCAGCCTAGACTTGGATTCTGCAGCTGGATTTTTTGGAGGTAATTGCTGGTTCTGAGAATACCGTGAGCTGTGTGTTCAGATACGTGTGGCTGTGCCGAAAGTGGCTGAGCGACTCTCTGAGCATCTTGAGAAGGCTGTTAAGAGATTACCACCTCTTTACAGCTCAGGAGGCTGCTTCTTTGTATTTTTCTAAGCCAAGCAAGGAAATCATAGTGAATCTCTCACACATTTTCCCTATAAATACAAAAGGTATCAATGTCCTTGCTCTTGTTTGATCATCAAAGTAAAGCTCAGGGAAGTAAATTAATTTGTTTGAAGTTGCATAGTTAATCAGAAAATAACATGTATTATTAATTGCCCTATAATTCGCTCTTTGGATTCTCATGTCTTTTCACCCCCAGTGTAATTTAGATAAGTATATTTCCATTTGCCTCTTTTCCCATAAATAAATGTACTTTTGTGTACTTTGGAAAATGCCACAGATTTTCCCTTTTTTCCTCACTCATAATTTGTTTGCATTCCATCTGACTCTATTAGACTGAAATAAGCTATAAATTATTTAGGAAATTTTGTCACATCTGTGATCCGCAGGATATAAACTTGGATTCCCTCCCAGTCTTTCTCATCCTAGGAAATTCAGCCATGTCCATGACATATTTTTTCCCTAACTTTATGCTTGGTTGATTGGCTCAAAGCTTAAAGAATTATGTTCCTAAATTTTCTATTCCTCTTGACCTAAAGAGGAAGACAAAGAATATAATGATCAATTTAATTTGAGAATAATTAATTTTTTTTCAAAATAAAATACAATTTCATTGATTTTGGGCACAGTGCCACTGTCTTCAATTGAATACTTTGAAAACAAAGAAAAACACTGTAAGATCAGTCCCTCTGGGAGCAGTATGAAGTGGTGGCCTCTAAATCCACAACTCACAAGGCCAATCATGTGGGCCCTTGTGATGATCTAGCTAGCCCCACTGAACCCTGAGCCTCACTTGTCTCATTTGATGCTTGTGGCATGGGAGAGGGAATGAGGTGCCCGCTCAAGTTGACTGATGGTGTATTGATGGCAGGACCACAACTTGAATCTGGACATCATCTCCTGGACACTGACTTGCTCTTCTTTCTATGTATGTTGGACACTTTAGTAGTTCCCTGTTGGCTCTAAATAAAGGTCAGCTCCACACCGGGCATACAAGATCCTCATGATTTGCCAACCACCAACATGTATAGTCTTAGTCCATGCTTTGTACATTCTGTATTTGCTCCCTGGAATTAGATTAGCTGTGACCCCCTCCCCACAAGCACCACCAAATTTGTCTTGTAGGCATTCATTCATTTTTCAAACCCAGATTGTCACCTCCACCAGGAGGTCCTCTTCACCCTCTTCTCTTCTCACACCCCATTTTCTCTCTTGCCTGGTATATTTATTCACTTACTGGTTTATTCAGCAGGTATTTCTGAGGACCTACTAAGTGTCAGGTACTGAGCTAAACAGAAGTTATATACCCATGAGCACACCTGACCAGCTCCCTGCCCTCATAGAGCTTGCAGTCTAGTGGAGATATTAAAGACAGTAAACACACAGATAGATACTTACAATTGGAATGATTGCCACAAAGGAAATAAAAACTGTGCTTGGGGTCTGAGAATCCTTCTCCATGTCCCCAGCAGCAGTGAGTATCTGGGGATCCTACCCACTCCAGGGGCTCAGTGACAGAGGAGGGAGGCTGCAAGGAGCTGGGCTTCTGTTAACACCCGATGCCCACCTCCTCCCCACTGGCTGCTGAAGCACTCAGTGTTCTGTTGAGTGAAGGGCATAAACATATGGCCATGATAGTGAGGAAGGTGACCTGTGGTCAGGCAAGAAGGTGTGATATTGTGGGGATCAAGGTGATGCCTCTTTCATATCCCTAGTTAAGGCTGTTCTCTAATAACTGTGATGAGGGACAGGGAGACACCTCCTTGGTTTAAACACTGGCTAGTGACATGGTGAATAGCCCAGTTGGAGGTCTATTTATACCCTTATTCTTTTTAATTCTATAGGATTAATAAGTTGGAAGTATTAAAATCTCTTTAGAAATTTCTGTAGGAAGATAGATGAACATTTTCATAAAGAGCAACTCAGTTTTTGAAAGATTTGAAAGAAGTATTCAACTATCTTTAAAAATAAAAGTACACCAATAGAACACACCAACCTCTTACTTAAAAATAGACACAGAGTTTATGCGGAATACTCGACAAGACACTAATTCTCTAAAATTTATCTATCTAATATATATATTATATACAAAATTTTTTAATTTACTTACAGTTTGAATTCAATGTTATTTTGTATTAGCTTTAGGTGTACAGCATAGTAGTTAAACAATCATGTATTTTACAAAGCGTTTCCCCCTATATTTCCAGTACCCACCTGGCATCATGCATAGTTATTACAATATTGTTGACTATATTCCCTATGTTGTACTTTATAGCCCCATGGATATTTTGTAACTACCAATTTGTACTTCTTTATCTGGGATTTATTTTTAATTTTAGCAAGAAATAGTTGCTTATGATGTCACAGGATTTTTATGAAGGTATTTATTCTTTTTAAAATTATATAAACTTTTAAGTTCTTCAACTGAAATGTATTTTGTAAACTCCAAGTATAATTTAAATTACAAAGATAGCATGCAGCTTTTCAATGTAATGAACTTGCCACTTTTCTCACCCGTTTTTTTAATTCATTTTAGTGGGACATAGAATATATAACATTAGTGCATTCATTTGAGTTGAAATCTTGTTATGCAAGCTTTTTTTCTTCTTTTTCTTTCATCTATTAATTCTATAGTGTGGTTTCTTTAGGTAAAAAATTAGATCACTACTTACAGATTGTCCACCATTAAGGGAAATTGTCCAAATCACATTTGTTCATATGGACTTGCTGTCAGAAATTTTAATACTCTGTGTTGTGGTAAAAATAACAAAGATTTTAATAAAATCCAGATGACAAATATCTCAAGACTGGAGGCCTGGTGCACGGATTCGTTCACCAGTGGGGTCCCTCAGCCTGGCCTGAGCCCTCTTGCAATCAGGGGCCCCTCGGAAACTGGCAGTCCAACATCTCCTGAGGGCTGCTCTACTCCCACTCATCCCAGCCCTGCTGCACTTGCCACTCCACCACTCAGGCATGCAGGAGGAGTGTCCGAGGGAGAGGCTACACCACTGCAGCTGCGCTCGCCAGCCATCAGCCAGGTGTCTGGCGCCCATCTGTCAGCTGAGCAGCACTCCTGCTGTGGGAGCACACTGATCACCAGCAGGTAGCTCCTGCATTGAGCATCTGCACCCTGGTGGTCAGTGCATGTCATAACTACCAGCCAGTTGTACAGCCACCTGGTCATCTGGTGGCTTAGGCTTCTATATATATATAGATGCTTAAAGTCTTTTATTTTGTATACTTAAAGTAGTTTGTATTATGGATTCTTATTTATATGTTTGAGACTTTTATTTAGTCTTCTACAATTATTAAAAGTAATAGACTATTTAAAATATTTGTGAGGAACATTTAAAACTGTAATATGGAAAGTTCTACTTTATTTTCTTAAACTTTTTTTAAAAGGAAAAACAAACGCAATCCAGTACATTAAGATTTGTTGTAAATAGGCTTCTCTTCAAATGTTTTCATGCCACATACACTCATGGAAATACAAGCTACTTTTTACAGTGTACTTATTATTAGTTAGAAACCAAACTATAAGTGAACTATAATGACAGGAAAACCTTTATGAATTATTATGTACAATATTAGAGAAAGGTGCTTTGTCAATGTAATGAGTTATTATTGTATGGGTTTTGATTCCAGAAAATTTCATGGACTAAATACTTGCTTACTGGCTTTATTTGAGAGGTGCTAAAAACTCCTCAGCTCAAATGATCTCCCTCATTGGTACCAAACATTACCATTTGCATTTAATTTTCCTTATGCTAGCTCTGCTTCTCCTGGTGGGATTTATGTGTGGCCTTTTTTTTTTATGAATTCTATTTCTGAGAGGACAGTAGTTCCACATGATACCTCAGTGAGCTGGAGTATATCAGTTTTGCTCCCTGGGAATGAGTTTCCCCAGTGAAGAAGGAGGGCAGAGATTCTGAAAGGGGACAGAACCAAGAAACAAGGTTGCTGTAGGCCTCACAGAACAAGTAATGGTCATGGATTGCATTATGCAAATAGCAGCTGTTTCTGGGTGGCAAATGTTTGTTGGGTATGTATGAACACCTCCGGCATGGTGTTAGCCTCAGGGCTTTTCTGGTGAATTCAGCACACTGATCAAAAGGTTTTCACTGGTCTAATCTATTCATTCCTTCAATGAGAACTTGAAAGTGAAAAAGATGGTTAAATGCCCAATGAAGTGGAATTAACCTGAAATTAATTTGTCCTTCACTATTGTGTATTTCAGAGATTGGAGCACAAGGAAGTTTTGGTGGGCTTGTTGTTCCTGGTTTTCCCGTTCATCCCAGCCAGTAATCTCTTCTTCAGGGTGGGTTTTGTGGTGGCCGAGAGAGTCCTTTACATGCCCAGGTAATTACTACTCATGATTTCGTCTTTATGGGGCCTGCCCTCTGTCACCAACACCAATAGCTCCAGAGAGACTGTCCTATAGGGTATAACAAATAGATTCTTGTGGAGCTAAGATGCTTATTACCTAAGCTTCAAAACCAGCCACAGGGCATGTTGGATGAGCTCACTTTGCACCCATTCACTCTAGTTGGCAGTGGCTTCCCTCCAGCTGGAAGCTTGACAGTTAAATGGGAAATAGTGACTGGAGTGTATTCAGGTTTTTAGCAGCAATCATTTACCAATACATTCTTTTCCAAATATCTATGTTTTATTAAGCATTATTATAGTAATTTTGTAGTAATATTTTTATGTGTTTAAAATTATTAATTATGTTAAATAACATGATTGTATTTGAATTCTGTCTTCTTTCTTTCTCTGTCTCTTTTTTCTTTGGCTTTTCATTAAAAAATAGAAACAATCTCAAAAAAAATTGTCCTTGAGGGAAAAAAATGGTTACAAATATAAAGGGCATTCAGACGTATGTGATTACATCACACCACTTAGCTCTGAATGTCTGGACTGTGCTGAAGCTTGTCTGTTCTCTTGTCTTATTCAAATGGCATCTTTCCAAGGCCACGTTTCTTTTCAGGTGCCTGGATGTGTCCCTGAAATGGTTCTGCCATTTATCTGTTGTGTGACTTTGAATAAAACATGATGCTTTTTAGAAGCCAAGCTTTCTAATTTTTAAAATAAGGATTTTAGTGAACTTCCTAAAATGAGTAATTTAACGATTGATATATAAGAATGAATTTTTCTAAAAGCAAGTATCATAAACCAAAATATTATAAGGACATTATTAATTTATTGATATTCAGTTAGAATTTTAAATTGATTTAAACATCAATAAGTAAGATTTAATTTTTTTATTGATACTGAATTAGAAGTTTAAATATACATAAAATTAGAAATGAATTTCAAAGCCTTTGAATTCTGCCCAAACCAAGTACCTGACAGCGTTCTTAAAGCTTTGGAGCATCTGGTTTTGACTTGGTTCAGGAGAGAGCATTCCTTAAGTTTCTTTATGTGTCTTTAGCACAATTTTGGAAGGAGGTTCTTTCTTGGTAAATACTATTCGATAAAGACAAAAATACAACACAAATATTTTGTATTCTCTATGGCCTTACAATAACAGGCTATGAGGCCTTGCCAGTAATAAGAAATATGAAGGGCTAAAGGGGACATCATTGTCTATTCTTGATATGTTTTCGCTTAGACCAGTTGAAAGTGGCTTCAGTCAGGTGTTCTCTGTAAATACCTATTAATCCGAGTGGAGTTGATATTTAGTTTTCATTTAACAGATATTCACAAAGCACCATTGCTAGGCATACTGTTCTGGAATCTGAGGCTACAAAAATAAGTGAATCTCAGTTTTTTCCCATTAATTTAATAGCTGCTTATTAATAAAAAGGCATCTTTCTCTCTAAACATTTAACAGGTCATAGTATTCTTTAAAATATTAATACTATTTTAACACCCATTGCAGCAAAACTTTTATTGAATCTTTATTATATGTCAGCACTATGCTAAGCATGTGGGTATTCGTTGTATCAGTTAATTCACGCTGTAGGCAGTGGTTGACGGCATGGCCCTGAAGCCAGAGCACCTGTGTTGGAATTCTGGCTTAAACATGAGCATGCGTTTCCTAAGCCTCCGTTTCCTTATCTGTATGCAGTGAAAGTAATAGCACCCAACTCAGTGAGATATTGTGAGCATTCAATGAGATGATCGCTCATAAAACCTAGAAAGTGTTTTGTATTGTACATGGTCAGTAAATATCAAGTATTATTATTGCATCGGTTGGGGTAGCTGACACCAGTATTCCTATTTTACAAAGAGAAAGCCTGGGTCTGAGAAGTGAAGTGACTTGCTCCGGGTGACCAGGTGACATAGCTAGTGAGTGGCAAAGCTGGGAAGCAGATCCTTGCCTACCAACATACCTCGCACCTTCCAGACTACATTGCTTCTGCAACAGTGACTTCTTAGTGTTCTGCTCAATTGAAAAGGAAGGAGGAAATGTGGATTTAGTTAAAGTACTTACAGCACAATTCCATTTGGTAATCAGGACTTGATACTTCCAAGAGTCGCGTGATCTAAACCTTCTGGGGTCTGGGTGACAAGAATTGCATGTGCAACACACATTTCTAGACCAGGTGAAAGAGAACAATTTGTGATAAACAGGAGGCTAGATTTTATTTTTTTTTGAAAGAGACCTTTAGGTAAACCTTACGAAAGTCCATAATATTGTCATCAACCATGTGTGGAATATCTTATTTAAAGCACGGGGTTCCTCTCACCCAGGTGAGTGTGTCCTCCAAACACCTGCTCTTCCTGTGCTGCTATATCTCAAGTAGATCTTTCTCTGACTTTATTTCATTTTTCTCTAAAAAAGACAAAGTGGTGTCTCTGCCCTTTTTTGTGCTAGGAATAAACTGACTTGGATTAAAATAAATGTTCGGAATATGAAGAAAACATCAATATTACCAAGAGCAAGTGCCTGCCTCTCAAAAGCAATTTGGATTCTGCTGCATTGTGCACACTTGGTGCAGAGTCATCCAAAATCAATTTCAGTAAACCAGTCTTCATTAGAAAGGCGCTGTCCTCTTCCTTTCACGTTCCTGCAGCTATGCATTACAGTGTTGGAGATGTGTCATCATTTTCCGAAGATTTCCCTTTACTGCCCAGCATCTCCTGTATTCATATCCCTTTCATCATTGTGCTCAATCAGGCCACTCCTCCTCCAGAACTCCGTGTGACAGGGAGGTGGAGGTGCTCTCCCGCCCTGTAGAGGTGGTCCTGGGGGCTGGTAAATAGGTCAGGTAACTGGGCCAGGTCTACAGCTCTGAGCATAAACATGAGAGGATTTTTGTTGTTTCTGGTTTTGGTTTTTAAAAATATATATATTTATTGATTTCAGAGAGAAAGGGAGAGGGGGAGAGAGAGAGAGAAACATCAGTGATGAGAGTCATTGATCAGCTGTCTCCTGCACTCCCCGCACTGGGGATGGAGCCCACAACCGGGTCATGTGCCCTGAATGGGAATCGAATTGTAACCTCCTGGTTTGTAGATTGACAGTCAACCTTTGAGCCATGCCAGCCACGCCAAACCTGAGAGTTTAATACAGATTTTGAAAGGCTGAAATCAGAGGAAACTCAGGAAAAATTTGTGTGTGTGAGAGAGACATTATCACTCTAATGAATCCCAATATTCTTTACAGACATCATTGTAACTAACACCAGAGGGGAGCTGCTTTCTTATGAAGATGGATGGATTCCATTGTTCCCTAAAATTGTGCAACTGAGATGGTCCTGGCTGAGTCAGAAATTAAAGCTTAGGTGGGGAAACTTCTATGCTGTGAGCTTAGAGAGTTCTAATGACTCCAATAGAGCTGTTATAAATATTGACAGTTTTCTGTGAAAATGGGGGCTTCTTCTGGAAAAGATTTTACCCTCAATGATCAGCCACCCCTTCTCAGTGGAGAATGGTTAGAGAAGTGGACAAAGAGTTGCCCAAATCTTCCTGGGAGGCCACAGAGAATTTGGCAGATACTGCTGGCACCCCTTGGAGGGTGTCAGGGCTCTGGATTATGCCTGTTGCATTTAATGAACCTACACATTGGCTTGGATGATGGTGGAGAACATGTTCCAAGACTTTTAGATACGCAAGAATCTGCTCTGCATGACCCTCTTCCCATTATTGACCTCGACAAGAAACAGCCATTTCCACATCATCAGTACCAGAACTTTCAGGAAAACATACACACAATGTGTTCAGTGGCATCCCAGAAAATATAGGTCATTATCTTTATGCTGACCTTCTGTGTTGTCTCAAAGACTTTACCAAACATTAGGAAAATGAAGTAAAGAGCTGACCCTTCTGAGGAAGGTGACCTTCCTACTCATTAAATATTTTAAGTTATTATAGAGCCCACTCTTGGCCTTAGAATCTCATTCATGAACACCACAAAAGTCACGCCCACCCTCACTGGAGACTGGGTGAGTCCCATCAGTCCCAGGGGGCCGATTTGTCCATGTTACAAGATAGGCCCAGAATGAGTCAGACCAGCAATGCTCTTTCATCTCCCATCTTTATGTCTAATAATGAGCAAGCCACGTAAACCTCACATCCCTCCATCCTAAGCTAGAGAAGATGGAAAATTCTACCTTCCTCTCACTTGCGCTTCCTTTCACTCCAAAGCTGTGGATAAAAGGAACAGAAGTAGGCTATCTGTTCAGCACTGCATGGCTTTAGGGTCAAAGCTTTACCACCACCACCAAAAAAAAAAGGGGGAATAATCCTTTCTTCTGATGATAAATGCCATTTTTGTCAATGTCCTTTTTTAATAGGCGGGAGAGTTTGGGGCTTAAATCATTCTTTCACAGGAATTTTGACCTCTTATTCTTACCTCAAGAGAAGCATACACTTTTCTGGTTACCTTTTTTTGTATTTTATAAAAACCACATTAGAATGTTTAAAAGGCCTAAAATCATTTAGAACCAATGAAGCAGAAATAGTTATTGAGAGCATTCAAATAAAGTCATAGAATGTGCTTGGATATCCATTCATATGCCAGATTAAGGGTGATTTATTCACTTTGGTGCCAAAGAGCAAATTCCTAAGCTACTTAAAACATGAATAAGTGGAGACAGGAAAAGAATAGACAGGAGTAAGTGAAGGCAGCAACAATATTGTGGATAGAACTGATCAAGAATAATTGAAACCACAGAAAATGACATGTATTTGAGGGGAAAAAAGAGAAATAACAAATTGCCCTACTCTTAGAAAGAGATGCCATTTGAATTCTATAGAACCTAAATGTATAGACAGCTCTAGCCAGTTTGCTTAGTGGATAGAGCATCCACCTGAGGACTAAAGGGTCCCGGGTTCAATTCTGATCAAGGGCAAGTACCTCGGTCGCAGGTTTGATCCCTGGCCTGGAGTAGGACATGTGTGGGAGGTAACTAATCGATGTGTCTCTCTCACATTGATGTTTCTCTCTATCTCTCCCCCTCCCTTCCACTCTTTCTAAAAATCAATGGAAAAATATCCTTAGGTGAGGATTAACAAATAAATAAAATAAATGTATGGGCAGACTAAATATGGGAAATTAGAGAAAAGATGGCTCTTGTTCATTTTCAATTTTGAGAACTATCTTCAAATCATACCTATCAATTTGAAGTGGAATTTTTAAATCTTACATAGGTTGCTACTAAAACAATACTGCAGTACCTGTTTTCACCTGGCAAAATGAGAAATGTTACCTCTGAAGAAACACTACCTCTGTTACCTGATATTGGGGACCCTTCTGATGAGACATCTATGCATTTGCTTCTTCCGAGTTGCTGGAGGAGAGTGATGATCACTTAAGAGTGAATCGAAGTTTTACCAGATACTAAAATCAGCGGAGAATTTTTTTTTTGCTAACAACTTATTTTAGCAAATCCAATAGGAAGATGACTGAACAGGGAATCAGCACAACCCTACCTGTCCCCACAACGGCCAGGCTAAGCTGCCTTTAACACAGGCAATATGAAGCCCTAGTAATATAAACAAATAAGGCCTCATGAGCTTGAGAAAGTCTCCTGTGGCCACAGAACTGGAGAGTGGCACAGAAGATGTAGTTCCAGACTCTTTATTCTCTAGTGAATTTCTTTTCCTCACTGCAAACCCCCAAATGCAAAGCCTGTACCAGAACACTTTTGTTCTGTTGCAGCTAATAGTGGCCTGGGGGCCTTAGGACATTACTCTATTTAGAGGAGTCTGGTATAGAGACATCTGTTTCTACCTGGAATACCAACTCTGTGCATTTCCTGCCTTCAGTTTCCTCATTTATGAAATGGAAGCTATGGAGGATTAAGTTTAAGTTAGATAATACAGTGGGGCCTTGACTTACGAGTTTAATTCGTTCCATGACGGAGCTCGTAACTCAAATTACTCCTATGTCAAATCAAAAAGTGAAAGAGTGAGACACGTGATGCTGGGCTGATGTTGTGGCGTTCACTGTGATGTTTGCTGCGCCAACTAGTGGTGGAGTATCTGAAGCTGGCTCGTAACCCGAATTTTAGCTCGCAACTCAAAGCAAAAAATCAGCCAAGAGACAGCTCGTATCTCGAAAAACTCGTTAGTTGGGACACTCGTAAGTCAAGGCCCCACTATATGTAAAGCCAGTACTGTCCTGGTCCCATATAAAGTACTTAGCACAGTGCCTGGCAAATAGGAAGCATTCAGCAAATATATAAACATAAGATAGCTAATTATATTTGCTTATATGTGCGACCTTTGCTGCTCCTTGTCTTCAGCCACTTGTTGGCATTGCCCTAGGGCTATTGGAATCTCAGTGCTTTTCTTTCCCGCTGCTCTGTTTCCTACACAGAGGCAGAAAACAGCAATTAAGATTTCATGAGTGGCGCAGTTGGGAAGGAAGTAGGTGAAGCTGTGTGTTAGGTGTGAGGAAGCATGGGCTCTGGAATCTGTATGAGCTCTGTGACCTCATGCAGCAGGATAGTTCGCCTTTCCCTGCTCTTTGTGAAAGCCAGAGTGAGAAGGCAGCTGCCCTTGCTGATGTGTCCGCAGGTGTCCCACCCCCATCTCGTTTCAGAACTTTGTTCACAGGTCATCTTTTCACCGAGGCCTTCCCTGAGCCCCCATATTAAATCCCAACCTCCACCCCACCTTGGACTCCCTTG